TCCTATGTGTAAGGGCCCTGCTAATTAATCACCGCCTACTCACCTCCCAAAGGCTTCACCTCCTAACTACATCTGGGACATTCGGTTTTCAACACATGAATCTCAAGGGGACACAAACATTCAAACCATAGCACAGAGGTTATTTAGAAGTGAAAGTGTTAGTTGCTCAGTCATTTCTGACTCTTTACAATCCCAAGGTAGCTTGCCAGGTTTCTCTGTCCAGGGGATTCTCCAGGCAAGATTCCCTTCTCCAGGGGATCTTCCCAACCCAGGGATCGAATACCATCTGAGCCTCCAAGGAAGCCCATTTAGAAGTATTCTTTACTTCTTAAATATTTGAGAACATTGTCGGATATCTTCCTCATCTTCCTATTGTTGATTTCTAGTTTAAATTCATTGTGGCAAATATAATTTTTATTCTTTAATTTTTTAAAAAGTTACTGAGGGAGTTCCCGGGTGGCCTAGTGATTAGGATTCTGGTCTTTCACTGCCACAGTCTGGGTTCAGCCCCTAGTTGGGGAACTGAGATATTGTTAGCCATGTAGCATAGCCAAAAAACAAAAAAGTTATTGAGAATTTTTTTAAAACCCCAGAATATGGTCTATTTTAGTGAGTGTTTCATAGGCACTAGAAAAAATTGTGCATCCTGCAAATGTTGGTCAAGTGATCTGTGAATGTCAGGTCAGGTTGGCTGTGTTCCTAGTATCCTACGGCACTACCGATTTTTTATTTGTGCTGTTTATTAACAAGTAAGAATTGTTATAATTTCTGTACACTGTTGAATTATCAATTTCCCCTTGTAGTTCTATCAATTTTTGCTTCATGTGTTTTATTTAAATTTTTGCTATTATATGCATATATGTTGAGAATTTGTCATCTTGAACTTAACTCATTAATAATTATGAACTTTATCCTTGATAATACTCCTTGCTCTGAAGTTTGTTTTGTTGGATATGAACACAGCTACTTATGTTTTCTATGATCTGTTTAGTATTTTATAAACTTTTCCCATCTTTTTACTTTTAAACTATCTGTGCCTTTATGATGTAAAGGAGTCTTTACAGTCAACATATCATTCCTCAGATTATCTAATTTATATGAAACTATGTTTAAGTTTCTAGTCCTTTCTTCTGTCATCTTCAGACTCTTGTTAAGACTATCCAGTGGATGTTTTTAGATATTAATGTTTCAATTCTATGACTTAATTTGATTATTTTCAACATTTTCTGTTTCTCTCCGGCATTCTCTATTCACTTGAGCATATTTTCCTTTATAGTGTCAAGTATAGCTAAAAAGCTGTTTTAAAATCTTTGGAAATTTCATTATATCGGTTATCTCTGGGTTTGTCTCCATTGATTGCCTTTTATTTGAACATTGGTCACGTGTTCTTATTTCTTCACATTTCTGGTGATTTTGGATTATATCGTGGACATTGCTAATGATATGGTGTACAGGTTTTGGCTTCTCTTACGTCCCTCTTTAGAATATTGAATTTATTTTGCCAGACAGTTTTCTTGACAGAACTCTAATGATAAACTCTTTGTGTTGCCTGAAGCAGTAGTTCAGTTCAGTCGCTCCGTCGTGTCCAACTCTGCGACCCCGTGGACTGCAGCACACCAGGCCTCCCTGTCCATCACCAGCTCCCGGAGCTTGCTCAAACTCATGTCCATCAAGTCAGTGATGCCATCCAACCAGCTCATCCGGTAGATGAAGCAATAGAAACCTAGTTTATGTCTTCTAGCCTTAATGAGGCTGCTTGGAGCCTTCCACATGCCTACGTAGTTCAAGAATCTGACAGAGATTTAAGTAAAATTGATGTGCAGAATATAGTCTCCTCCATGGCTCTGTCCTTTCTGAGACTTGCTCTTCAATTTCTAGCTTCTGTAGTCCCCCTGAAATTTGTCCTCTGATTATTCACGCCTTTAAGACTATGAATTTTCTGGCCAACTTTTAGCCACTCCATCTGGCATAAATTGGGGTTTGCTCTCAGGTAAACAAATTGAGAAAAATGAGAAACTTACTCCATGCCACGTCTTCCTTCCAAGAGTGGGCTGCTATCAAGTTTCCACTGTTTTTGTTTGTTCTCCAGTGACTTGGGTAGTTGTCATATTTTCTCCAGAGTTTATTGTTGTTTTTTGAAGAATATTTGGCCCAGTAAGAGCTATTCCTCCATTACCACAAACTAGAATTCCATTGCTCTGGCTTGGATTCTTTTAGTATACAAATACAATGGTTTACCCTTGTTTATCATTGACAATTTTTCTGTTTATTCTCAAAGATACATCAGATCTTTCAGTAGTCTATTCTTAACTGCTCAAAATGACTTAGTATCATCTCCAAATATAAATATTTTGCTTTGTTGTCTCTATTCAAAGTTATTTGTTAATCCATGCAGTCTTTACAGAACTCTCTTATTCACCCATTTCTATTCAGAGAAGAACTAATTTATATTTTTTACAAATATATAATTTTATAAATATTAATATATACAAATAATACATAAATTTATAAATGATTTTATATTATTTGCTTCTTATCTCTAGACCCTTTATAAGATAAAACAGACTCTTCACTACAGCCTGACCAGATTTTGAAACTAGCTCATGTAAAACTTTCGAAATTCTCAGTGGACTATATCAACCAATTGTTTACGCTTATGTCTTTTTATTTCTTTAAGGACAACAATAATTTATCCACAGCATATTTTTAAATGTTTTGCTAGAGAGCCATGTTGCCTCATATGTTACTTTAAGGGTTTAATAGTCCAATCTTTTATTAATTATAACTTAATAGCAGCTTGTCTAGCATAGAAATGTGATGCGATTTCAAATTCTTGGATTGTTTCTGGATTTTTTAAACTAATATTACATTTGTGATTTTCTAGTCTTATGACATGGAAATCATAATGAGTCATTTTGGCTACACATCCCTGATTTTATAGCTCGTGACTTTAAGAATGCCACCTGATTTTGGTGATTTAAGCTAAATTTATTTTGTTAATAATAGCTAATATTTATTGTACATACCTTAGATGCCACACAATGTTCTAAGTGTATGATCTCATCTTCTCCTCCAGTTACCCCATAAATTGCCTTCATTTCCATCTGCAGATATAACCTGTTGGAGCACATCCAAGGTAGTGACCACCATTTGATCTAACGCTTCTGATCTTTCCAACTGAGAGGAAGTGTTGGAACAGTGCATTGACTTTCTCAGTAAGCCTTCAAAGCATGAGAATTCTTGGCCTGTTTTTTAGATGGCTTCGTGCATGCTCTTTTCCGTGTAGCTAAGCTGCTTCAGTCGTGTCTGACTCCGTGCGACTCCGTGGACTGTAGCCCACCAGGCTTCTCTGTCCATGGAACTCTCCAGGCAAGAATACTGGAGTGGGTTGTCCTACCCTTCTCCATGGGATCATCCCGACCCAGAGATCGAACACACATCTCTTACATCTTCTGAGTTGGCAGGTGGATTCTTTGCCACTAGCGCCACTTGGGAAGCCCCAAACTGGTTCTACAAGACTAATACATTTTCAGTAGTCATGTATGGATGTGAGAGTTGTACCAAAAAGAAAGCTGAGCACCAAAGAATTGATGGCTTTTAACTGTGGTGTTGGAGAAGACTCTTGAGAGTTCCTTGGACTGAAAGGAGATCCAACCAGTCCATCCTAAAGGAAACCAGTCCTGAATATTCACTGGAAGGACTGATGCTGAAGCTGAGACTCCAATACTCTGGCCACCTGATGTAAAAACCTGACTCATTGGAAAAGACCCTGATGCTGGGAAAGATTGAAGGAGGGAGGAGAAGGGGACGACAGAGGATGAGATAGTTGGATGGCATCACCGACTCGATGGACATGAGTTTGAACAAGCTTCGGAAGTTGGTGATGGACAGGGAGGCCTGGCGTGCTACATTCCATGGGATCCCAAAGAGTCGGACACGACTGAATGACTGAAATGAACTGAACTGAAGATCTTCCAGGTTCCCCCCCTCACATTGGTTATCAGGTCTCTCTGATGCAGCATTTCTCAGCTAAGATCCCTTATGACTCCTGGCCTCAGAATCTTTTACAAAAGTTCCACAGACAGGATGTGATCGCTGTACACAGGAGGACCATGGTCTCTAGTGTGAGAAAAGCTAAGTGAGCCCTTCACAGGGACATGAATGCAGAGAGACGGTAATTAGTTACCATGAGAAATCCGAGCTCTACTAGAGGCAGCACGCGGGGTGGCCAGCAGGGGGCAGCAGAGCGCGGCCGGGAGCCGCAGGTCAGAGGCGGGGCTGCCCGAGGGGAGCTCCAGGGGAACCAGGCCTGCGGGTGCACAGGTGTCCAAGGATCAGCGCTTGGCAGGAAGTCAGGATGGACAGGCCGTCCCCTCAGGACTAGTGACCACCTCTGAGGGTCACATCCACAGTGAACCCCAGGGCGCCATGCCTCAGTCCACGGCCAGGACGCTGCCAGGCTGACCGCCCCGCTGGGGAGTCCAGGGGAGACCACAGGCCAGGGGGCCGGGGTGTTAGGACAGCGGGCACGTGGTCAGACACAGGGGAGGTGACAGTAACCCCCGTCCTGAGGACAAGTCTGATGTGCAGACGTGAGAAGCCGAGGAGGAAGCGGGGGACAGACAAGGGCTGATGGCGTGGTGACCCTGCCTCTCAGTGAGGGGCCCCAGGGGCTGAATTTGCATAAACAAAACCCTCGCTGCCCCCCTCAAAGCTCCGAGAGGGAATAAAGGGGCTCGTAGAGCCCAGCGCTGCTGCGGGCTCAGAGGCAGAGCTCAGGGCGCGCCCACCATGGCCTGCACCCATCTCCTGCTGTCCCTCCTCTCTCTCTGCACAGGTGCGGCCCCCCGGCGCGGCCCCCAAGTGACCAGGGCTCAGGACACACAGGACCGTGGGCTGGGCCTGCCCCAAACCCAGAGCGCAGTCCAGGCACCGCCTCAGGGTGGGATGCCCGGGGAAGCGGTCCTTCCTTCTCATCCCGTCTTCCCCCTCTCTTCCAGGCTCCGCGGTCTCCTATGAACTGACCCAGCCGACTTCAGTGTCAGTGGCCTTGGGACAGACGGCCAAGATCACCTGCTCGGGGGACCTCCTGGATGAAAAATATATTCAGTGGTACCAGCAGAAACCAGGCCAGGCCCCTGAGCTGGTCATTTATCAAGATAGTAAGCGGAGCTCAGGGATCCCTGACCGGTTCTCTGGCTCCAGCTCAGGCAAAACAGCCATCTTGACTATCGGCGGGGTCCGTGCCGAGGATGAGGCCGACTATTACTGTCTGTTGTCTGTCGTGGGACAGCGGCAGTTACAATGTTCACAGTGACACGGACAGACGGGGAAGCGAGACACAAACCCTCCTGTCCTGCTCACACTCTCCTCCAGCCCCGGGAGGACTGTGGGCTCAGCAGCGACAGGCCTGGCCTGGTTCCGCCAGAGCTGAGCCCCCAGGCGGCCCCTCCTCCCGGCCCTCCGGGCAGGCTCTGCACAGGGGGGTCCGCAGTGGATGACAGGCTGGCAGGACCTTGGTGTTGATGTGGGAAAACAGGGCCTGAGTGACACAGACACACCCATCCTATCGAGGCCCCTGATCTCTCTGTGATGGCCTTGTCTAGGCCATCACCACCTCTCTGTGGCCCTCAGGTCCTGACCTCATCCCCGAAATGCCCTGTGAAGTCTGGGATTCTGATGAAAGACCCAGTGCTGTGGGCACCATCGAATCCCCCAGGCCCCTAGTCGGCCCTGAGTGCCCTGCCCGCTGCCACTGGACCCAGTGCCTGCTACCTGCGCACCCTGTTGTTTCTAGAATGTTGCCCCCTCACAATCACGCCAATCCTAGACGATTCAGTTCATCAGTCTTGTGGAGTCCTGCTCCACTAGAGATGACCTTGCAGGGCCTGCAGGGCCAGAGCCTCCAGGAGGACCCCCAAAACTCAGTCATAACCCGGGCAGGTCAGAGTCTCCTCCCCTGAGTCTGGCCTCCCGGAATCCCTCCTGACAGCAGGGCCCCAGCTGTCCTCCTCCGAGTGCATGTCCAGGGGATGCTGTGACCACCCAGGGGAGACCACAGAGGAGGCCAGTCCCCAGGGGTCAGCTGGGCTCCCGTCCTTCCCTCTGGCCCCAGGTTAGAACCCAGCCCTCTGTCCCCAGGGATGCAGCCACCAGCTCTGAAAGTCCGACTCAGACCACGTGCTCATCCCAGCTTTGACCCTGGCCGGGAGACACCTTAGGGGACCCCTTGGAGCCAAGCCCTGGGTCTCAGAGCAGCTCTGCCTGCCCCCGGCAGCTCTGAGCACTCCTGGGGCCTCCCCACTGCTGGGGTGCAGACCCCTCCAGCTTCTGGGTTCCAGACAGGAAACCCCACTCGGGCCTGGACCTGCAGATCCAGGTGGGGCCGGGCAGGTCCGTCCTGAGTGGCGCCTCCACAGGCATTTCAGACAGACGCTCAGACACTGTGTCCAGGATCACAGCCCCCACAACCAGCAGGGCCAGGCTGGGGTCAGGGGGCTGACCACACCGCTCCGGGTCATGGCGACGAGGCCTGGAGACTCAGCTCTGTCCCGGCCTGGCTCGGGCTCTCCCCTGCTTCAGGACACACCCGGGGAACTGGGCTGTGAGTTCAGACTCTGAGGAATTCTGGCCTCTCCCTCCCCTCCCTCCCCTCCCCTCCCCTCCCCTTCTCCTCAGTGTCCTCCCCTCTGTCTCCCTGCCGCCCTCCTCTGCTTCTCTCCTCTCCTCCTCCTTCTTTCCTTTCTCTCCCTCTCTCTCTCCCTCAGAAGATGTTTGGATTTCTCCCCGTGGATTGTATTTAATTTAAAATTTCCTTTACATTTGTGTTGTCAACTAAACACAGATGTACAACTTGAGACTTGCGAGTTAAGTTTTATTTGGGGCAAAATGAGGACTGCAGCCTGGGAGGCAGCATTTCAGAGAGCTCTGAGAGGTATCTGGGGCAGTGGGGAAAAGTCAGTATATAAGGTTTTGGTGAAGGGGGAGTTCAATACCATTAAGTACTCGTTTTACAAAAGGTTTTTTGTTAGTCATGAGGACCTGATGTCACCATGAAGGGAGTTAGTGCTTCTCTAGATATAACGAGATGAAAGGATGGAAATCATAAAATCTGTTCCTAAGAAGAACTATACACAAAGATCTTCATGACCCAGATAATCACAATAGTGTGATCACTCACCAGAGCCAGACATCCTGAAATAGGAAGTCACGGGGGCCTTAGGAAGCATCACTACAAACAAAGCTAGTGGAGGTGATGGAATTCCAGTTGAGCTATTTCAAATCCTAAAAGATGATAATGTTAAAGTGATGCACTCAATATGCCAGCAAAGTTGGAAAACTCAGCAGTATCCACAGGCCTGGAAAAGGTCAGTTTTCATTCCAATCCAAAGAAAGGCATGCAAAAGAATGCTCAAACCACTGCACAATTGCACTCATCTCACATGCTAGCAAAGTAGTGCCCAAAATTCTCCAAGCCAGGCTTCAACAGTGTGTGAACTGTGAACTTCCAGATGTTCCAGCTGGGTTTAGAAAAGGCAGAGGAACCAGAGATCAAACTGCCAACATCTGCTGGATCATGGAAAAAGCAAAAGAGTTCCAGAAATGCATCTACTTCTGCATTATTGACTATGCCAAAGACTTTGACTGCGTAGATCGCAATAAACTGTGGAAAATTCTGAAAGAGGTGGGCATACCAGATCACCTGACCTGCCTCTTGAGAAACCTATATGCCGGTCAGGAAGCAACAGTTAGAACTGGACATGGAACAACAGACTGGTTCCAAATAAGAAAAGGTGTACATCAAGGCTGTATATTGTCACCCTGCTTATTTAACTTATATGCAGAGTACATCATGAGAAACGTGGGGCTGGAAGAAGCACAGGCTGGAATGAAGATTGCTGGGAGAAACATCAATAACCTCAGATATGCAGATGACACTACCCTTATGGCAGAAAGCAAAGAAGAACTAAAGAGCCTCTTGATGAAAGTGAAAGAGGAGAGTCAAAAAGTTGGCTTAAAGATCAACATTTAGAAAACTAAGATCATGGCATCTGGTCCTATCACTTCATGGCAAATAGATGGGGAAGAAATGGAAACAGTGACAGAGTTTATTTTGGGGGGCGCCAAAATCACTGCAGACAGTGACGGCAGCCATGAATTTAAACGACACTTGCTCTTTGGAAAAAAATTTAAGACCAACCTAGACAGCATATTAAAAAGCAGAGACATTACTTTGCCAACAATGGTCCGTCTAATCAAAGCTTTAGTTTTTCCAGTAGTCATGTATGGATGTGAGAGCTGGACTATACAGAAAGCTGAGAGCCGAAGAACTGATGCTTTTGAACTGTGGTGCCGGAGAAGACCCTTGAGAGTCCCTTGGACTGCAAAGAGATCCAACCAGTCCATCCTAAAGGAAACCAGTCCTGAATATTCACTGGAAGGACTGATGCGGAAGCTGAGACTCCAATACTTTGGCCACCTGGTGTAAAAAACTGACTCATTGGAAAAGACCCTGATGCTGGGAAAGATTGAAGGAGGGAGGAGAAGGGGACGAAGAGGATGAGATGGTTGGATGGCATCACCGACTCAATGGACATGAGTTTGAGTAAACTCTGGGGATGGGTGATGGACAAGGACGCCTGATGTGCTGCAGTCCATGGGGTCGCAAAGAGTCGGACAAGTCTGAGGGACTGAACAGAACTGAAGAGAATAATTATACTCACGCTCAGGATAGCTCCTTTGGTAAAGAATCTGCCTGCAATGCAGGAGACACCGGTTTGATTCCTGGGTCGGGAAGGTCCCCTGGAGAAGGGAAAGGCTACCCACTCCAGTATTCTGTCCTGGAGAATTCCATGAACTGTATAGTCCGTGGGGTCGCAAAGAGTCGGACAGGACTGAGCTACTGAACTGAAGACAGTAATCACAGTCATGCTGAGAAATCGGAGCTCTACTAGAGGCAGCACGCGGGGTGGCCAGCAGGGGGCAGCAGAGCGCGGCCGGGAGCCGCAGGTCAGAGGCGGGGCTGCCCGAGGGGAGCTCCAGGGGAACCAGGCCTGCGGGTGCTCAGGTGTCCAAGGATCAGCGCTTGGCAGGAAGTCAGGATGGACACGCCGTCCCCTCAGGACTAGTGACCACCTCTGAGGGTCACATCCACAGTGAACCCCAGGGCGCCATGCCTCAGTCCACGGCCAGGACGCTGCCAGGCTGACCGCCCCGCTGGGGAGTCCAGGGGAGACCACAGGCCAGGGGGCCGGGGAGTTAGGACAGCGGGCACGTGGTCAGACACAGGGGAGGTGACAGTGACCTCCGTCCTGAGGACAGGTCTGATGTGCAGACGTGAGAAGCCGAGGAGGAAGCGGGGGACAGACAAGGGCTGATGGCGTGGTGACCCTGCCTCTCAGTGAGGGGCCCCAGGGGCTGAATTTGCATAAACAAAGCCCTCGCTGCCCCCCTCAAAGCTCCGAGAGGCAATAAAGGGGCTCGTAGAGCCCAGCGCTGCTGCGGGCTCAGAGGCAGAGCTCAGGGCGCGCCCACCATGGCCTGCACCCCTCTCCTGCTGTCCCTCCTCTCTCTCTGCACAGGTGCGGCCCCCCGGCGCGGCCCCCAAGTGACCAGGGCTCACCCGGCCCTGAACGTCAGCTCAGCACAGAGGCTGCCGCAGGGTGAGTGGGGGGCCCAGAAGGAGGCCCTCTTCCCACACTCACTCTCTTCTCTCTTCCAGCTCGTGCGGTCACCTCTCAGCTGACTCAGCCGCCTGCGGTGTCCGTGTCCTTGGGACAGACGGCCAGCCTCACCTGCCAGGGAGATGATTTAGAATTCCTTGGTGCTAACTGGTACCAGCAGAAGCCGGGCCAGGCCCCTGTTCTCATTTATGAGAATAGAGAGCGGGCCTCAGGGATCCCTGACCGGTTCTCTGGCTCCAACTCGGGGGACACGGCCACCCTGACCATCAGCGGGGCCCAGGCCGAGGACGAGGCCGACTATTACTGTCAGTCAGCTGGTATCAGTGGTGGTGCTCACAGTGACACAGACAGACGGGGAAGCGAGACACAAACCCTCCCGTCCTGCTCACACTCTCCTCCAGCCCCGGGAGGACTGTGGACTCAGCAGGGACAGGCCTAGCCCGGTTCCCCCGGAGCTGAGCCCCCAGGCGGCCCCTCCTTCCGGCCCTCCGGGCAGGCTCTGCACAGGGGGTCAGGAATGGATTTAGGGTTCCCAGGACCAGGCTCCATGGTGTTTTCTTGACAATGGTGTGAAACGTAGAACTCACGTCTCATTTAAAGACAGGCAAAGGAAGACATATGTCCAATATGGTGTTTTTTTTTCTTTTTAAAAGAAAGGCTTGGTATTTTCTATTATGTGGGGTTTTAGTTGAGTAAAAATACATTTGAATGGTTAGCAACAAATGGGATGGTCTCAGGTGCCGGGAGCCAGCTCACAAGATCCCACCCATGACAGGGCCATGAGGGAGAAAACCTGAAGGGCAAGGCGGATCAGGTTTCCAGGGATTCTGAAAAGCTGCCCCCAGCGCTCACCTTAAAGATGATATCTGTCTTTCTGATGCCTGCCTCAGTAGACTACTACCTAATTTCTGTGACACAGGCAGAAGGCCTTCCCCGATCTCTTCCCAAATAAGAATCAATTTAGAACTTTAATCAATAAGTTTCCCAGGTGGTAGTATTTTATGAGATTATCCAGGGTGAAAGGAGTGTTTTAATTTAAACTCTTTTGCTGATATTTTAGTTTGTTTGGCAAATGCATTTATGCCCTTGGTACTAATATGCATGATTACTTATAGTACCCTAATCATAAAATAACATAAAGAACCTGATCATATAAAGGCCCTAACAGACATAGAGCTCTTCGGGGGGTGAGAAAGCCCCATTAAAAAACACAAGAAAAATTATTCTAAAAGTAGCTATTGGGTTAACATTTGCTTGCTGTGTTTTGCTTGCTGTGTTTTTGCTTTTAATGTGCTAAGGTTGTGTTATAGAAACCATTGTTAATATAGTTAAAGATCTAGAGAAATAAGAGCTTAGCCCTAGTGTGGTAACAATGAGATGGTTGTTAATTGTCAGCCAGGAGTGCTAGGCAGAGGCTGCCTCACCAAAGTCTCAGAGTCAGTCTGGGGTAAACTTCTTCGATAACGCAACTGACAACTTCTGCAGAAGGATTAATTTTTGTGTTAACAAGGTTATACTTCTACTCTGTACTGTTGCCCTATGAGACTGCTACCTTTCAGTTAAGGTCACCATAGAAACAGAAAATAGGTTTACATTCACCTGACCTGCATAAAATGTTAACAGGCCCCAAGGCCAGAAGATAATGTACAAGACCATCATAAACAAAGAAATATGCAGAAAACACCCTGGTTTCGTGAAGAACAAGCTGATGTAATGTTAAACTATCTTCCCCTTAGAAATGTACTAATTTAGGGTATAAAAGCCACAGTAAAAAATAAAGCATTGCCAGACCCTGCCAAACCCTGCAAACAATCCTGTCTGGTCATTCTCTCTCTCTCTCTCTCTTTCTCTCTCTCTCCCTCACAGACTTGGCCCTATCAAGGCTGGTCTCACGTGTCTTCTCTCTCTCTCTCTCGCCGACGCCGTTCATCCTGAGGGTATCCCCTGGATCCTGCCAAGGCTGGACCCCGGCAGGAAGGAGTGCTCGCTTCACCATCAGGAGCTGGAAAGAAGTGGAAGCAAAGCAAGGAATTCACGTGATGACCAGAGGTCAGGAGCAGGGAGCTGCGAAGACCGCCTCCTGTTTGTGACTGGCCGTCTCTGGATGCATTTCTTAGCAGAGAGGCATTACACTCGTGTCTTAGTTTGCTAACTAATTCTTACTCTTGTTTAGTTGCCAGGTCATGTCTATTTGTAATCCATGGACTGCAGCTGCCAGCTCCTTTGTCCATGGGATTTTGCAGGCAAGAATACTGGAGGTGGTAGCCGTTTCTTCCCCAGGGGATCTTCCCAATCCAGAGACTGAACTCTAGTCGCCCCCTGTGCATGGGGCCTGCTGCCTAGCAGGCAGATATTTGACCTCTGAGCCATCAGAGAGGACAGATGGTAATTATGCCAACCATAAAAAAAAGAGGAAGTACACACTAATCTTTATCAAGGTATTTCAAACAGCAGAGGAGGAAGGATACTCTCTAGTTTATTCCATAAAGTTGGAACTATGCTTACCAATAAAGACATTACAAGAAAAGAAAGTGAGGCCCCCAATGCCTTATATACAAGAAAAAATCTTTTAAGGTATTAGCCAACTTAATCCAAAAAAATGTATCAAAATCCAAGTGACATTCACCCCAGGAATGCAAGTGTGGTTCAACCTAAGACAATCAATCATGAGTATACCACCAAAACAAATTAAAGAGAAAAAATATTAAATATCAAAAATGGTGCAGAAAAGTATTTGACAATATTGAATATCTTTTCATGACCAAAGGAAAAAGAGAAACAAAACACCAGAAAATTCTGTGTAGAAAGAATATATCTCAACCCAATGAAGGGCATTTATGAAAAACCCACAACATACATCATACTCCATGTGAAAGGCTGAAAGCTTTCCCCACTGCCAGTGAACTCTGTCCTGGAAATTCTAGTCACAGCAACTGAGCAAGAGAAAGAAATAATGGCCATCTAAACTGGTAGGAAGAAATCAGGGGTGTCTATTCTCTGGGCACATAATACAATATAGATAAATTTCAAAAGTCCACAAAAAGTTACTCATAATGAATTCAGAAATGCATCAGGGCTCAAGATTCAGATGCAAAAATCATCTGGGTTTTTATGCACCAACAAACAATTCCATTAACAATAATATCCAAGGAATTAATTTAACTTAGGAGAGAAAAGACCTCTTTACTGAGGGTTATAAAACATCTGGTGATGAAATTAAATAAGAGCAAGTCACTTAGAAAGACAGTCCGTGTTTTGGAGGCTTAATGTCGCCAAGCAGGCAACACAGGGACGCCGCAGGTGAAACCCTGGGCCTCCTCCTCCAAACAGGTCTGCTCATCATCTCACAGGTGACCTGAGACCCTAAAGCTTGACTCTGAGGCAGTCTGAGGGCATGAAGAGAGCAGTAGGTCCTCCCGTGGGACCAGGAGTCAAGGCCCAGGGAATGACCACGTGGGCTGTGGGCTCTGAATCTGCACCCGGACTGAGGACTTCCGGCCCCTTCCGCAGTCCGCGCAGAGTGGCCACCGGGGGGCAGCAGAGAGCCTCTCGGCCCCGCCCCTGGAGCGGAGGAGACCGGGCATCAGGTCCCCACGCAGGGCTGGGTTCCCGCACCTCTCACCTGAAGGACAGGGGCCGGCTTCCTGTGGTGTCCTCCCGTCAGGATGCACAGACTCCACCCTCTTCGCTTGCACGGACAGCCTCTGTCCTTCCTGCAGGACAAGCTCCTCCTCCCCCCTCTCTCCCCAGGGGGCTGGGCCCACAGTTTTCTCTCTTGTCCGCTCCAGGAACATGGAGCCAAGAGATTCATTTGTCTTAATTAGAAACACTCTTTGTCTTCCTGCGTTTCCCCAGTAACTGAAGGCAACTTTTAAAACCGTGTTTCCGGGACCTCCCTGGTGGTCCAGTGGCTAGACTCTGAGCTCCCAGTGCAGGGGGCCGGTGTTCAGTCCTGCTCAGGAAACTGCATCCCACAGGTTGCAAATAAAGATCCTGCATGCCACCTGATGCAGGCAAAGAAATAAATGTTTCGTATCTATATATTTCACATGAGGTGTTTTTATAATATGCAGCCGGTATTCTTTCTTACACTTAACCATTGCTTTGAGCACATGATTGGTCGATGGCCCAGACCACACATGGCGATACTGAGGCCCAGCACCCACCGGCTGCCCGGGACCTCATGGCCAAGGGTGGACACAACAGGACCTCAGGGGACCTTTCAGAACTCCCCGTGCTCTTGGCAGAGGAGCAGTGTGATCCGTGGCTCTGTCACTCGGGAGCTGTGTCTGGGCTGGGCCCTGCAGCTGTGCGTCACCTGTGGTGCGGGCCTGGTGAGACTCACCGTCCAGGGGACCTGAAGGGTCAGAAGAACCTTCCCTTAAAAGTTCTGGAGGTGGAGCTAGAACCAGACCCACATGTGAACTGCACCTAAAAACAGTGAAGGATGAGACACTTCAAAGTCCTGGATGAAATTAAGGTCCTTCCCCCGAACCAGGATGAAACAGAGGAAGGGCTTGGCTTCCAGGAAACCCCTACATCTCCACCGTGACTCTGGCCGTGCTCACGGCAGAGCCCAGGATCCTTCGGTGCAAAGGCCTCAGGCTTCCTAGAAAATACAGACCGTCTCCAGCTCTGAGCTCTCAGTGACAAGGGCTTCTCTCCCAGGAGGGGGGCCAGGACCCAGGCTGGGGTGGGGCTGTCCCCCAAAACCCTGAGGCCAGCAGGTGCAGGAGGAGCCGCGGGCTGAGGGGGGTGTGCAGGGCGGCCCTCCCCCGTGTTCCTGGGCTGAGCCTCTCTGACCACACGGCTGCAGGCAGCACCCTGGGCTGGGGCTGATTTGCATCCCCAGCAGCAAGGGGGTAAGACAGGCCTGGGAGGAGCCCTGCCCAGCCTGGGCCTGGCGAGCAGACTCGGGGTGTCTCCACCACGGCCTGGACCCCCCTCCTCCTCGGCCTCCTGGCTCACTACACAGGTGAGCCCCAGGGTCCACGCACCCCAGGCCAGGACTTGCGGACAGGCCTGGCCCTGACTCTGAGCTCAGCGGGAGCTGACCACGGGGTCAGCATGTTTCCTGGCCCTGCTGCAGGGTGGGCAGCTGGAGGGGCTGGAATCCCCGCTCTGTGCTCACTGCGGGGTCAGCCCTGAGGGCTGCGCCTGCCAGAGAAAGGGGGGTCTCCTTTCCTCAGAGACTCCGTTCACCAGGCCCATGGGCCAGGGGGGCTGAGACTGAGGCGCAGGGGTGCCCTGGGTCCCAAAGACTCTTAGGCACTTAATCTGGGTGAGGCTGGGGGATTCTGCCCCTAGGTTCTCCACC